TATTTTACGGTCTATATTGGGGTCCCCCTATTTTGGGAAATTACCATATATCCCCAATTAAGGGTACAAGTGTACAAGGAAGGTCCTGGTAGTTACCCCTAAGGGTCCAAGGACCCAAATAATAGGGTTTTAGGGCCCAAATACCATTCATATTATAGTATTTGGGCCCTGAAGCCCTATTATTTGGGTCCTTGGACCCTTAGGGTACTAGTTGTTCAAAATACCTGTCCCCAAAAATGGCCATAAAAGGAGCTGGCCTTCTTGGTTTAGGGTTTAGGGTTTAGGGTTTAGTTTAGGGCTTAGGGTTTAGGGTTTCTTGGTTCGAACCTGCCTCTATGGAAGTGCATTCCTAATGGTCCCGCCTTGTACCATGACCTTTAGAACAACCCTAGAACCATTGCATAGGCCATTACCTCCATAAAGCCCTGTATAAACCCAACGTCCATGCCGTTCCCCGTTTTCTTTGCCTTTCGATTGGGGCAGGTGTGTATCGTCATGCGCGTTCAGGGTTCAAGGCTTGGTGTTCAGGATTTGCTTTTTTTCCATTCTCCGTCCTATCAGAAGACCGTCAAGAATTGTGATGCGTCCTTCCCCAAACTGCATGTTTGTGGAACCCCCTACAAGATCCCGCCGTCCAGAACCCTAAGCTCTCCTAAACATAAAATTCTGCACCGCAAACCCCACTTGAAGCTGAAAACAAGCCATTTCAACGTTGAACTTAAGACCGTGGAAAAATGCACTCCAGGGGCCCAAGTACCCAATGACACAGACGCTACGGTTGATGCTCGGAACTCTGTATGACATATGGTACTACAGCACCATATTTCCCAAGCTCATGCAAGGCTTTCAGCGTCATCAGTAAGAGTCTCTGGGGTTTATGGTCTAGGGCTTAGATTCAGCAATCGTCTTGTGGAAATCCCAAGGAAATAGCAACCTCCCTGTTAAGGGAAGCTTAGGGCTTAGGGTTTGGGATAACCCTAAACACTGAACCCTAAACTTTAAACCCTAAACCCTAAAGCTTAAAATCCTGAGGTGGTGAAGTACCCGGACCCATAGGTTCTTGCAGCCCCACCACTGACTGCGCAGTCTGGTACCATGTGGGACCCGCAGCTTGCCTTGATTCTGGGTTTAGGGTGAATGCGTTTACACGGCTTGAAACCCTAAACCCTAAATGTTGAGAAGGTACTAGCTTCGAAGCTTTTAAGGAGTTGGAGTTAAGGGAGTTCAAAGCGGAATTGATCATTGACTGTCTCCTTGGGTACCAGGTTCTTCGGGTCTGGCTGGTTCCGGATTTAGGATTTAGTTTTTTTGGATTTAAGGTTTAGGGTTTAGGGTCTAGGGATTAGGATGTGGGGTTTAAGTCTTTTAGAGTTTATGGGTTTAGGGTTTAAGGTTAGGGCTGAGCATTGCTGTTGTTGTCCGGTATTGTCACCGTTTGTCCCCAATATGGTTGTTCCTGCCGGAAACAAACCCCCATAGAATCCTTTGATGATGAGCGCCCCAATCCTGTATATCCCTGGGGTCCAAAAATGCTCTGCTCCCAAAGGGTCCATGTAGCTATGTAGTATACACCCGGGAATTAAGGTGGCTATATGGGAACCCCGTTGGGCCTAAGTACGTACTATACACCTGCATGGACCCTTTGGGCTGTGATAAATCCAAGTCCTACGTATGTTGTCTCCCTTGTCTGCAAAGGGCTTCGTTGGAGACCGGGCCTCCAAAAGCATACTGCCATGGCCTGAAGACTTACCGTATATATGTGGCCTCTACGTGAATTTCCCGTTTTGGGGTCACATCGTTTTGGCTCTTCTTTTCTGGGTTTTGGGATAATTGTTTTACCTTGCTGTGAGGTCCAGGGAAACCTAAAGATGGAGTGTTGAACGCGAAGGCTTCGTGCTAAAGGTACACTGTGTAGTGTACCGGCTATACTTTTGGGTTTGGGCGATTAGTTTACCTACTTTTGGGGTTCAGGTAGGGTTTGCAGGAATTAGAAATTCGGGCTTCAGGTTTTAGAACCCAACGCGTCGACCAGGAATTTCCTCCGAAGTCTAAACTAAAGAAGTTCCAAAGTCTGAAGCAAGACCAATCTGGGAGGGCGACCATTTTTGGTGAGGGGGCGTGCTAGCATACTTTCATGACTATTACATTCAAGAATGTCTAGTAACCTGGTGCAGGTCTATGTCCTGGCTTTCCTGTCCTTGCGGTAGACAAGAAACGAGTATGACCCTAAGCATCTTGGTCTGGTGTAGCAAGGACGTATCATCAACGGTATGATCCCTAGTTTTTGTGCCGCCCGTTTCGGGCAAGACGGTACACCCCCCGGAAGACCCCTCAGTACCTGGGCCTGAGCCTGAGCTTTTGCAATGATATAAGAACCCACATGGTCCAGGGCCCGAAAATCAGCGTGTAGGAGATTCCTGATAATAATATGAGGCATCTTACTTTCCGACAGGAATTGCTGATGAGATCTTGACCAGGTAGGTAGATTACGAACACGAGTTATGAAGTGGTTATACTGGGGCATTCTCGCGCTTGTAGGTATCTTACCGGACAGGTACAATCCACTATGATGACCATGAATCAACTACAGGATGTTGTTTGTTTGTGCGCTTCATTCTGCTTGCATGTTCATACAAATAAACACATGTTGGTCTCAAGCCTGCCTAGGACCTAGAATAACCGGTGCGCCCAGGAAAAAGGTCTAGGTTGTTCTAGGTAAACCTTACAAGGCGTCACCTCGTTTGTTCTTGCTTTAAGCTAACATCAAACAGCTTGTAGGGGGAATATCTTACCAATAGCCCAGGCAGGAACTAGACCTCCCAAATACCCATAATTGTGGGCAACAGCGCACCATCATGAGCATTCGGGAGGTCCAGGAACCCCTCTGAGGATAGCATGACTACACCCTAAACTCTAAACCCCTACACCCTGAGCCCTAAACCATGGAACTGGGCCTCCAGGGTCAGAAGGGGGCTTGCTTAAAATAACTCCTGCGAGCAAGAGGACTTTGGGAACCCCAACCCCCGCAAGTAGAGCCCTGGTATAATCAAATGAGCCCTATAATGGAGAATCACCCTGAGGTACCTACGGTAAGTCCAAATTTTGGCCACCTAGATTCAATCGGAAGGCTCGTAATGCCTAGGATCCCATCCCCTACTGATCATCCCCTCACCACCCGAACACCGTGAAAACACACTCCCTGCCAACAAAAAAAGACTAATATCTACATGTGTATTTATACATATATACACATATATGTATGTATACATACAGAAATATCTATCAGTGGGGGAGGCGGGGGGTTTATAATTAAGAGGAAGGGATAATATCCCTTGGGTATCTGTATTTGAGACTCAGCTGCCCCAAACAGATGCAGAGCGCGTTCCCACTCCTGACTTTTCTCCTCGGCCATGAGAATCGGGGGTTTCTACTTGAAACCCAGCACTCATGTAGAATAACGACCTTTGTGAGCCTTTTGAATGGTTGTGGGCAATTATGTTACCTACTCTTGTTGTGCAGGTAATGTTTTCGGGGAAGAAACTTAGAGGGTACTGGGGGTACCTACCCTTCTTGGTAACCAGCTTTATGGCAACTATCTTGTATGTAAGCAGAAGAAGTATGTTTATATTATAGGTATAGATTATAGAGCAGAGATGTATAGAATTACAGGAATTTCATTTTGAGATTTTCGTATACGATTTAGTAACCCAAATACTTCCTGTGCTGCTGCGCACCAGAGGCCCATACCCTAAACCCTAAACCCTAAACCCTATTTCCAAGGTGACTCAAAGCTGGGAGGTGGTCATCACATCTCGCACTGCGACCCCCTGAACCCTAAATCCTCAACCTCACGCCCCATACCCGAAGCCTACCTTCCCCAACAGTAGATTCTAAGGATCATCTAGAGGCTTGGGATACATTTTTTTGCGTTCTGGACTTAGGGTTTAGGGTTTAAGGTTAGAGACCTTGTGGCACTTGATTGTGCTCTTGGTTTTTAAAGATGCTGTTGAAAATGACAGCCAGCAAGCCGACCTGGATCCATGAATTAGGGCGTGCTGTGATTTGGGGCTCCCCGACCTAAAGCCCAGAAAGGCAGCCCTTGTCACCCGCGCTCCATCCTAAACCTTATGCTAACACAGGAAAGGGGCCATGGCACTCATCACTGCGCTGCATATGTGCATGTTGACCTGCCGCACCCAGAATCAAATCAGGTCATTTCGCTTCCAGGTGAACTAGGGAGACCACATCCCTTCAACATTGACTAACTGCTTGCCCATAACCCTAGACCCTACACCCTAAATCCTAAAAAATCCGAATAAGGCCCAACCTAGGTGATGTTTCTAGACCTTGTAGCTCAAGGTGGGTATTATTTATAGACTTGGATCCCCAGAATCCCCAAGGTAATGATCTCTATGCTCTATACTCCTTCCTACGGCTGGCGTGAACACCTTTAACAGAATGGCTCCTAGCTGATATCCTCCAACTTTTCCGCCCACGCGCTGGAAAGCCCCTGCCCAAAAAAGGATCATAATTTCGACAACCACCCATATATACACCTGCCCCAAAGCACCTATACAGGAACCCGTTTGGAGGCAAAGCGTCTGCCACAAGTGCTTGGGCCCGTCAGGAAGGTTCACCGCCTTTCATGATCCCCATGCAGGCAATGAAAAACAGGACCCTTTGACTACGTATCATCTGATGGTTATAGGGTTCTGATTTTGGGGGTTGGGGTTACCAAAACCCCCTCATTATTCATGATCCCCATGCAGACAATGAACACTCTACTCAGGCGAGCATATAGCGCGCTGACTGGAGCTCTCAGTGTTTTTTTCTGGGTTGCAAGTTTGCTCCCCGCATAAGCTCCTGAGTCCGCACCATCAAGGTAGGCTAAGTAACCGCCAGGTATAACATAAGTGCGGGCCAGCGATGAACCTCATCCACATACGAATCAGCACTTCAGCATTTTTCCCTGAGCCGCACCGTCACGATTTCACCTTCCATTATTTGAACGCTCTATCTACGGCGACCCGACAATGGATCAACGTTGTATCCATCACAGGCAAAGGCGTATTGCCTTCATGCAGCAGCATTCCAATTTCAGTGCATCCCAAGATCAAGCAGTCTGCGCCAGCCTCCTCCAGGCGCTTTGCGATGGCCTCGTAGCTCTTTCTCGACTTCTCCTTCGCAGTGCCTTTGCAGAGCTCATTGAAGATGACATTGTGGATGGTCTCCCGGTCTTCCTCGTTCGGAACAACCACTTCCAAACCTGCATCAAGTAGCTTACCCCTGTAGAAGTCCTGCGTCATCGTGTACCTTACTGTTGAGCTAGTAAGGAGCAGAGGAATGTAGGGAATAGAGGAATGGATCCCGATAGTATAATCCCCATAAAATCGTCCAGGATGGCTCTTGTTTGACACATTCCTCCATTCCCCACTTACTGCTCCCATGACTCGGAACCCTTAACCGCCTAAACCCCAACCCCAAATACTAAACTTCTGTTGATACATGAGACACATCATGGTCTTAGTCTACGAACATAACATAATCGAAAGCACCCTAAACACTAAACCGTGTAAACCCTAGTTTCCGTTGTTTAATCATTGTCAGGTACATGGTGCCCATCAGCGCCGGCCTTTTGCAGCCCTGTTCTTTGATCGCGGTCGCCGTGGCGTCGGCGATGTGGAGGAACGGCACCTCAATTGCCTGTTTCCGGAAACTAGGGGCCCCTTTTTGGGAGTCCCGGGAAGAAGCATTCCAATGTGCATGTGCGGTCTTTGTTAATCTATATTGTGTGCCTTCATTTAGAACACCCCCCCCCCAATCACCGACCTCTGTTTGTGGAAAGCCCCTGAACCCAATAACCCTAAAGCCTATAAATCCTATAGATGACCCCAAACCCTAAAGCCCTAAAGCCTAAATCCTAGACTGCTAAATCCTAAACCCTAAACCCGCAGCCTGGGTAATGGCTGCAGCGCATTGATGCATCCTGTGGCTGTTTCTGCACTTTGCTTAACACATCCCTAGGCACATAGTTGACTCTTGTTTAGGGTTTAGGGTTGATAGGGCTTAGGGAATCAGATCAAAAAAGAAGAAAATTGCATGGAAACGCGGGTCATTATAATAGCCCCTTAATAAAGCCACTTTATGCACCATTACAAAAAAACTTCCAAACGGGTTCGGGTTGAAACGCTTTCAAAATCATCCACAGCATCGTGTTAGTTGCAAGGATGATGATCTTGGCTCCGCCTCGTTCCAGGTCTCTAGCACACCCAGCAAGAATTTCACCGGCTGCGTCCCACCTAAATGGCGTAGTTTAGAATTATGGTGTATGGCTTAAGAATCATGCTTTGCGGCACCAGCGCGTGGTTTCTTATTGAATTTGTATGCTACATTGTGGTGCCCAGAGCCCTGATACTGAAATATCAGGGTCTGACCAGAAAGCCCAATACCATTCATTTCGGGTATATACCTCACATCTATATTCCCTATCCTTACGGGCCTTTGGGCTTTCTGGCTAATTTGGTCTTGATCCCACCTTCCTTCCTTTTGCAGTGGCTCGATTTCGGCAAAGTTCACGCTGCGAATCAGAAGGTTGCAGGAGGTCAACTCGTGCCCACCTTGCAGCATGCTTCGCAGAAGTCTGTCCCAGGACCATCCTTGTACCTTAAATCTTCCCCAATCGTGGGTATTTGGGGGTGTATGGAGGGTAGTTGGAGGGTCTAGGCCAATGGCCCCTTTGCGGGATCGATGTTACAAAATGGGTTTTAGAGCTTAGGGTAGCTTAGGGTAGCTGATGACACATCCTTGCATGGCCATACATGGGGCTTTCCTCTCATTTTACAATCTTAGTGTGGAGTTATATCATCGTGTTGGGGTATGAAGGGCCCCTTGTCTGGAAATTTGACACCTGTGGTGCCTGAGGGTCAACCAGGAAGTTGCCTGCGAACCGTATCGCCCTAATTAAACCCCAAGTACACCCAAAGGCTCCAGGTACCTCATAGGATATGGGAATTTCATGGAACTACCCCTGTGGAGCAACTTATAACCCCATGTAGCTGCTGGGTGCCCGTTGACCTTCGAAACAGTCCAATATACCTGTGTTTTTGCCCTAAGCGCCCTGTGTTTGTGTTTTTGCCCTAAGCCCCAGGCGACCCGGAACAAGTACCCGTACGGTGTGTGCCAGGCCGGACCATGAAGTCTCCTGCCTGCTTGTGCCACCTTTTTATTTGCTAGCTCGTTCAGCTCCTTGTAGTACCTTATTCAGTTTTGGGCCGTAGGGTGCATGTTCTTTAGGTTTTAGGATTTTTTAGAACGGCTAAGGGTTTGAAGAGTCTCGGTACCAGTGGACCTGTATAGTATATACAGGAAAACGTCAATTGTGGATTCAGGTTACCAAAAAAGGGCAGAGGGTACTCACCAGATATGTAGGCGCATAGCGGTACTCGCCCAGGACATACCTCCAATGATGCCAATTGCTTCCTTCTGCCGGATCACAGTTCCAACTTGCCGCGCCATGGTTCCATGGAGCATGTACCTAGACCTCATGGTGCTGTTCCAATCAGCGGTCTCAAGCTTTCTTCTTGAATCTACCCACCCCCAGAGGAGGCTTCAGCCAGAATGTGCGCAGCCTGTTTGCTTAACAACCTTTGTGGACCATCTGATGCTCAAGCAACCACTTAACTTTTCCACATTGAAGCAATTCTCAATACCGGGGAGCGCTTAGGGAGCTTGGGGACACACAGGGAGCTTCCATTCCCCCGGTAGCTTGCGCGAAAATTATACCCTCGCACATACTGGAACCCAAACATACCAGGATGGGCTGTGAGACCTTAAGGGTACCTGACTCTACCCGCATTAGGGGTTTAGGGTTCTAGGGTTGGGTTTAGGGTTTAGAGGTCCTAATAGGGAATTTAGGGTCTAATAGCCCGCAATGGTATAGAAAATGCTGTGAAAGCGTGCCGCATGCAAACTTGGAAGCATCTTTCTTGGAGTCAGGGGACCAGGAAGTAGGCTAGCAATGGGACGACTCTTTAAGTCCCCCAGAAAACGGGACTTGAACAAGACAGGAGCTATAATCTCAACTCCTAGTATCCCCCTTACTGACCCCTATACCCTCCCCCGTATATCCCGCATATGACCCCCTTTTGAAGGAGTTTGGACCCCAACACCCTGAAACCTAAACACTATATGATCCCCCATAAAACCCCCTATAAGGAGTTGGGACTATAGCTCACATGCCAGGCAATGGCTCCGACGTGGCCCATTGCCTAAGTGCCTTAGCCCGAAGCCCGAAACCCGTCCCATGCTGGGCGTAAGAGGGTTGTGGGTTTAGGGCTGTAATATCAAAGCTAGTGCTGAGCCGGCGTGCTGCAACTCAGCTTCGTTGCGGTTGAGGGTTTAGGGTTTCGGGGTAGCCCTGAACCCTAAAACCCTGAACTCTATGACGGTAATCAGGAAAGGGTTCCGGCTTTATATACCCTAAACCCTAAACCCCATAAACCCTAATGCGGAGGCCCTAAGGTACCCCAGATAGGAATCTCCCTAAGACTCCCAGGTACCTGCTCTTTAGGGTTTAGGGTTGCGGGTTTAGGGATTAGGGTTTCCCTAAGGGTCCAAGGACCCAAATAATAGGGTTTGGGCCCTAAAACCCTACATATTATTTAGGTCCTTGGACCCTGAGGGATTTCAGATATCCGCAAAACGGACAGGCCACAAACTTGAGGTAAGAACCCAGCGGTGGGCCTCCACACGACTATGATCTGCTTCCGTGAGCAACAGTAGTGCGAGTGGCCAGTGGTCGCCTTGCACAGGAGACAGCGGTTTATGGGGGTGTACGTTTGCTCAATGAGTTTCTGGGAGCCTTCGGGCGACGCGCTCAACAGCAAGTGTCATGCCTACGCGGATTTACATGGAAGCCCGTTTTGGCAGATTTCCAAGAACGGTAATTTTGCAGGGCTCAACTGGGGATTCCATGTTAGCTTGGGTCAGTGAGATCTTGGACAAGCTCTTGCTAGACGACTTTTCTCCGCGTTGCGTGTCTTCGGCTTGCATGTGCTAACTGGTGGTAAGTGTGGAAGAGCGGATCTCTATGTCAGTCGGTCCTCTGTATCCCCTGATAAGGTAACACCTGGACTTCCAAGTTATCCCCAGGATGCTAAAGCCTCTATACGCACGATTTTGGGGTGAAGGGCCTAAGGGATCATACGAATCATATTTCGGCCCTTGTATAGCCCTTCTATACCGCTATTACATGGTGGGGATCTTCCTAAATTAAAGCCTTAAAGCCTACACCCGTACATCCTAAACCCCCGCAACCCTAAACCCACTTCACCCTAATCCCCCAAAACCCTAAACCCCCGAAACCCAGGTAGTTTTATCCTCATCCCTATCCGAGGGTCATGTACTTGCCAGGACAACATGAACTATAATCTCAACTCCTAGTATCCCCCGTAATAACCCCTATACAACTCCCTGTATTATTGCCCTTTAGGGAGTTTAGACTCTAAACCCTGAACCCTCTATAATCCCGTATAGTATCCCCCTTTAAGGAGTTTAGACTCTTTCTCATATGAGCTATCCAGGATGGAAAAATAGCACTCTCCCCCATGGTCATGTAAGTGTAAGATACAGTTAAAGGTTTACGTTTGTAATAGCAAAGCCCTAAACCTTAAGCCTGTTTTAGGTTTGGGGGTTTAGGTTCTGGCTTTTTATTTGGGTTTAGGGTTTAGGCCTGGGATTCTACGGCGCAGAGATCTTCATGTTGCCATGACGATCCAACAAACCGCGCCGAAACGGTGGCGAGCACCAACTTGTCATGGGCACTCATTCCTCTAAAGGCGCAGCATCCCCCCCCCCCAAACTATGAAAATGCAATCTCCAAACCCTAAACCCTAAACCTATAGTCCCCCTCACGTAATACAATATGGCTTTGGGTATGTTATAATAAGATCCCCATATAGCCCATATCCTATCTACTTAAGAGGGTCCTAAACCCTAAACCCTAAATAGTAGTTTCCATTTTACTTTCCATTATCCCAAAATTTAACCCCCGATGTTCTATATACTACTTAAGGGGGAAACCTATCCGACCTATCCCCAACTAGAGGGATGCCTAGCTCCAGTTTTCGGAAGCGCCCGCCACAATCCTCGAAGCCCCCGGACTTTAGGGCTTTAGGGCTTTAGGGTTTGGGGTGTAGGGTGTAGGGTTTAGGATTTGGGCTTTAGGGGTTTAGGGTTTGGGGTTTGGGTTTGGGATTTGGGCTTTAGGGCTTTAGGGTTTGGGGGTTAGGGTTTAGGATTTGGGCTTTAGGGCTTTAGGGTCTTTATTTCTTGAACCTGCAAACCTACTCGTAAAAGCCGGCATTCTAAACCTCAGAGGGTTTGGATAGCTGTAAAATAGATACTAAGACCAAAATACCTAAAAGGAAACAGTCTTGGCCCCCGAGAATTTCAGTATAGGTACTGCATGACAATTCCAGCCCCTGCCGCCAAGCACACTTACTGGTTGCTAGTCCGGAATGAAGGAATGGAGAAAAAAAAGCAAACTACCATTCTTAGGGGATGATGCTGGAACTACAGTGGAAATCCATTCCTCCGTTCCCTACGTACAACCAGAAATGCTC